ATCCATTCAATCAGAACTAAAAATATGAGATTTATACTATAATTATAATATCCAGGAAGAAGACATAAGAACAATCTTTGCATTTCCTAGAATATTATTTTTAGTTTTATATATATATATATATATATATATATTCCTGAATTCAGATATTATAATAATTATATCATAGATAAACAAAGAATTGTATCTGTGGCACTTGATCTCAAGATAATTTCTCCTTCTGATGCATTGCATTAACTTTTTCATTCTTTATTAGATATGAGAGCTGGGATGATCCAGAGGTCCCAAAGTTTCACTATGGGTCTCATTATTCTAGTGCTGGAATTGTCCTATTCTATCTTCTCCGCCTACCCCCATTTAGTACAGAGAATCAAAAACTTCAGGGTGGCCAGTTTGATCATGCTGATCGCCTTTTCAATAGTGTAAGGGATACTTGGCTTAGTGCAGCTGGGAAGGGAAACACATCTGATGTGAAGGAATTAATTCCAGAATTTTTCTATATGCCCGAGTTCTTGGAGAATCGATTCAATCTTGACTTGGGAGAGAAACAATCTGGCGAGAAGGTTATGTTATTGCCAATATATACTTGCTATTTTCAATTCTCTAAGAACCAAAATGCAGGTGAAGTGACTAGTAAATCTAATTATTATGGTGCTTCTTTCAGGTTGGGGATGTTGTCCTACCTCCATGGGCAAAAGGTAGTGTCCGAGAGTTCATCAGTAAGCATAGGGAAGCTCTTGAATCTGAGTATGTCTCAGAAAATTTGCATAACTGGATAGACCTCATTTTTGGATATAAGCAAAGAGGGAAGGTGGGTGTCTTGTTTTGCATTTTAGATACTTGTCCCTCCATCTTGTTTGGTTGTTATTTTAATTTTTGGATCTTATTGTTACATTGTTAATTTTTTGTGTCATTTATTTTTGAAGGTTTTGCTCTACAATATAACGTCACTTTCTTTAGTTGTTTACATAATTACCTGCATTTTTTTTGTGGAAGGCTCTGTTCTGGTTTGTCATGGGACATGACTATTATGGACTCCGATTATGAAAGATGTCTTCTATGTTTTATTTTATTTCTAGCAGTTGACACAACCATCTGTATAATTCTAAGTCTTATTTGCATCCATTCTGTTGATTGTCTTAATGTGCCATATTATAATTGTGAGTTGAGTCTATTTCTGGCATTTAAAATTGTGCAGTCCTATGCATTGACATTTGATTTGGTTTTGTAGTGATTGTGGAAATTTCATTGTGTGCTTTTTGACATAGATTGCAACAGTTGAACTGTGACATATCTTGATGATTATGTTACTAAATATGTCTTCAACAAATGTGCTAAATTCACCTCTGTTTTCTATTTGGGAATATTTATTCTCTTTTGTTCCTAATATCATTTTTTCCTGTACATGGACAGGCTGCTGAGGAATCAGTTAATGTGTTCTATCATTATACATATGAAGGGAGTGTAGACATAGACTCAGTTACAGATCCTGCAATGAAAGCATCAATTTTAGCACAAATTAATCATTTTGGGCAGACACCTAAGCAACTGTTCCTCAAGCCCCATGTGAAAAGGCGAACTGACAGAAAACTTCCTCCGCATCCCCTTAAACATTCCACTCATCTTGTTCCACATGAGATTCGCAGAAGTTCTGCACCTGTGACTCAAATTGTTACTCTCAATGACAAAATTCTCATAGCGGGAACTAACAATTTGCTTAAACCAAGAACATATACCAAATATGTAGCTTGGGGTTTTCCTGATCGTAGCTTGAGATTTATGAGCTATGAACATGATAGACTTCTTTCAACACATGAAAATTTACATGGAGGTAATCAAATTCAGTGTGCTAGTGTGAGCCATGATGGTCAGATTCTGGTTACTGGGGCTGATGATGGACTAGTTAATGTATGGAGAGTCAGTGAGTTTGGGCCCCGTGCTTTACGGCGCTTGAAGTTGGAGAAGCCACTTTGTGCTCATACAGCCAGAATTACATGCCTTCAAGTTAGCCAGCCTTACATGCTTATTGTGAGTGGATCAGAAGATCGCACTGTTGTTATATGGGATCTCAGCTCCATGGGTTTTGTTCGGCAGCTCCCAGAATTTCCAGCACCAGTTTCAGCAATTTTTGTTAATGACTTGACCGGAGAGATTGTTACGGCAGCTGGTATTCTTCTGGCTGTTTGGAGTATAAATGGAGATTGCCTGGCAATGATCAACACATCACAACTGCCATCTGACTCTATTCTCTCAGTGACAAGCAGTACTTTTTCTGATTGGTTGGACACAAAATGGTATGCAACAGGTCATCAGAGTGGAGCTGTCAAGGTGTGGCAGATGATTCACTGCTCCAACCCGGATAGCTCCCTTAGCAAATCGGGTTCTGGGGGCTTGGGAGGGTTAAATCTTGGGGCAAAAGAACCAGAATACAGGTTGATCCTACGCAAAGTACTGAAGTTCCACAAGCATCCAGTTACTGCCCTTCACCTCACAACTGATCTAAAACAGTTATTGAGTGGGGATTCAGGCGGGCACTTGCTTTCCTGGACACTACCTGATGAGAGTCTGCGAGGTTCATTAAATCAGGGGTGAAACTCATATATGATGGTTCATCGTGCTGACTTCAGCTTTTGGCCTGCCTTTAATTGTTGAATCTTAACATTGGGTTCTGAGTGGATACCAAATGTTAAAAGAAGGATTCATGTTCATAATTCATGATAATTGTGAAAGAATGCTGGCCAGATTGAGACAGGGGAAACAAGGTTGTGAAAGATAAGACGAAACCACACAGTCACAGCATGGCTGAGAAACTACTCGCATGTAAGAGTACCATCTATTCACATGGTGGGTGAAGCTTCGGTGAAGAAGGATGAGGTGTAGGTGGAAAAATAGAAAGCAAATGTTGCCCGCTGGCTTTGTATTTTCGGTGACTGGCGGAGAATACTTTGATTTTGCTAGAGAAGTCTCCTGTTTTTTCTTTGATGTAAATATTCGATTGTAGTGTGTAATTAATTAAGTTGTATAGTAAAAGGCTAGTCGTGGAATGGATTGTGATTGGAATGATAGGCCCAATGTGAGGTATGGTCGTTGGACTGCTGGGGGGATCAGTATAATCCTTGCTGGGAAATTCTTTTTCCATGGTGACATTGGGGCATTTATTTTATTGAGCCCCTGAAAGAAAACAAGAAAACTAAGGTACCTGTGATTTGTACATTTTGTCTGAATATTCCTCCCATTTAGTTATTTGTTTGTTGGCTTGCCTCACACATTTGCAGCACGAATTCTCTGTATAGTTTGTTTAGGATCAACATGTTTGTAAGGTGTAATTGTCTTTCATGTGTTGCATACTTGCTCAGTTGCTGCTCTGATCTATTGTCCTCTTTTTCTGCATTTATGATACCAATACACGGACACGATACCATAGGTAGTATAAAATTAACTTAAACATAAAAATGTAAAAATTAAATTAAAATAATATCATTAGTATTTCATTAGTCAATATTATTCCTTTGAACAATAATGTCATCATTTGATTTGTTTTGAGTATAGTAAATTAACCTATAGAATTTGTTACTTGTTATTATAATTAATATTTTTACTTTTCTTTATTCTCAATTGGGCAAGAAAATAGTAAATCGTAAATTTTTATTAAAAGTTGTAATATTTAATGTTATCAACTAATTAAATTCAATGATATTATATGATTTACAAAATAACTTTTTTATTTTTTAATTAACAAAAAATGTACAAATTTGTACATAATAAATAAATTGTTATTTTAATAAAAAATAAAATATTACAATTAATTGTTAAATTAAATGATATTATTTTGATATATACATGTGAAATTTTTAAAAAAAATACTCGTATTTTAAATAATGTTATATGTTTATTATAAAATTTGTTAAGATAATATTTGCTTATAATAACATTTTAATTGTTATATATTTTAAAAAATATACTAACAGTTAATATATTAGCATTGTATATTATTGGTTTTATTTACCATCATCATAATGTTTATAATCATAATTTTATTTATATTAGAGAAAATGTATACTAACATGACTAATCTAACAATGAATTATTAGTAAATAATTTATTTTATCTAATAGTTAAAATAAATATTGTGGTAAAGTATTAATTTTTAATTATATAAAATTTTTAAAATTTTAATGTATGTTGTGAATAATTTTAATGCAAAAATTAGGATAACAAAATTTATCGTAGGTAAAAAAATAAATTACTTTTACTTTATTGTACTGAATAACTTAGAAGGAAGTACATCAAATATATATTAATTTTTAAATAAAAGTTAAATTACAACGTAAAATAAACTTATTGTCACTTTTTATATAAATACTTTTATTAATTAATTAAATTAATACTTTTTAAAAAATTTAATTAACACGTCGAAATGACAACAATAACCCTATTCTTCCATCAGGATACCCCCTAGGGCTTCGCAATATAAGATAGGACGGTGATCTCTTCTTCGAGTCTGGTTTTCTTTTCTCTCGAGTCAGGTTGTGCCCTTGTTGCTTCAAGCTTACTTGAGCAGTTTCCTTCCTCTAGCCTCCTTGCCAGGCCGGTTTACCTACGGAGACTCAAAGTAGGTCAGGGAAGGACAGTTCTTTTCTCTGAAGAATGTGATATAGAATCAGGGCTACTTTCCCTCGAAGCTTGAAAACGGCTTTGAGGAGGGCTTGCTTCATTTGATCTTTCCCATCCCAAGAGAGATGGTGTAGTGGGCTTCTTTCACGAATCATAAGTTAAGGTGGATTGAGGAGTCAGACTGTGATGATCTACCAAAAGGAAAGGGATGTGTATTAATTTGTTAGTGCTACCTTTTGCTTTTCTCTATTGCTGGGAAGTGGAAACTGAAAAATAGCATTGAATTGAAGTAACCCCAAACATGAATTGACAACTGAGGTTGATTACACCACACCCTTCTTGATCCCAACTTCTCCGTTAACGCCCCTTCTTGATCTGCAATTGCAATGGAATTCTCAGAAGAATGGAAATCCTTCTTCCCAATAGGAATAGGAGCATCCACTGTATCCCCTCTTCTTCAGTCCCAATCTCTCCCAGTGGGTCCTCTTCTCTTCACCCCAAACCCTCACTCTCTCACCCCTCTCTTCTCTTCTCCCTCTCTCTTCCCCTCTCTCCCTCTCCATCTCCCTCCTCACCTCTTACCCTCTCGCTTCGTTCTCTCTTCCCACCCTTCCTCCATACTTCCCTCCACCGCTTCCTCTGTTGCTTCTCATTCCCACCACGACCCTGCCACCCACTTCCTCCGCAACCGTCTCCACCTCCTCCATTACCCACATTGCCCAAAAGTAGTCGTTCTCTTTCCAACTGGTCCCAACGATGACAAAATCGGTTTTTTTATGCTGGGCGTCAAGGATTCCCGCTTTCACATTCAGCTTGACACCAAAGGTGACGTTTTTATGGCTTCTACTGGCTCTGTACACCGCATCTTGAGGATTTCTGTGAACCCAGTTGCTGATTTTGGTCTCGGATTGACCTCTGATCCTTGTCCTCTTATTGGGTATTTGTTGGCTTCTACTCTCTATTCTGTTCATTGGTTTGCCGTGAAGCACAATTCCGTTTTGGAGAGGCCCAGTGTGTTTTATTTGGGTGGTAAAGCGTTTAAGACTTGCCCCGTTGTGCATACTTCTTGGAGTCCTCATATATTGGAAGAGAGCCTCGTTCTGCTGGAGAATGGTGACTTGTTCTTGTTTGATTTGGAGTCTCAGGGTTTCAAAGGGACTAGGTTGAGGGTACCCTGGAATGATTCAGAAAACAAGGTGTGGTTGAGTTGTGAGTTTAGTTGGCACCCGAGGATTTTGATTGTTGCACGTTCTGAAGCCGTTTTTCTGGTTGATTTGAGGTTAAGAGAATGTAGTGTGAGTTGCTTTATGAAGATTGAGACTCTGCGAATGTATGTTCCAGGTGAAAATGAGGAGTTTCTTGCTTTGTCAAGGGCTGGTCCTGACAATTTCTACTTCACTGTGGCTTCTACCAGTCTTTTACTTCTCTGTGATGTGAGGAAGCCTTTGGTGCCAGTGTTACAGTGGATGCATGGTATTGAAGGACCGTGCTATATGACTGTATTAAGCTTGTCTATGTTGAGGTCCCACTCGAAGGAAGATACTTTTAAGTTGGCTTCTGAATCTGGATTTTGCATTATATTAGGATCATTTTGGAATTGTGAGTTCAATATCTTCTGCTATGGATCTGTATTGCCATTTCGAAAAGCATCCCTTGCTTCAAAGCTGTCGAAGATTAGCACAGGTATCTGTGCTTGGGAACTTCCCTTTGAGATTAATTTAACTGGTCACGAGTGTCGTTGTGGAAGTTGTCTCTTGAGGGAAGAGTTCTCGAAGGATGCTCTTCCTGAGTGGATTGATTGGCAGCTGAAGAAAGAGATAGTTTTGGGATTTGGAATTCTAAGCAATGACCTTGCTGCCTCACTATGTGAACCAGATGAAAATGGTGGTTTTACACTGATAAGGCTGATGTCATCAGGAAAGTTTGAATTGCAGAGATATTGTGCCTCTTGGGCTCTGGCTAGAAACTTAGAAGATTGCCATGAACAAGAGTTATGTCTGGACAGACAGTTACTGTATCCCATGAGTGATGAGAAATACAGATTTCCAAAATTTTTTCACTACTTAAGATTGGATTACCTTCATGCATATGCAAGTGGTAATCTCACTCTCTTCCTAGTTAGAAAACTTAAAAAGACCCATATAGATGCTCAGGACAAGGAACTTTTTTGTGCAGAAGTGCATGAGTTACTGTGTGAGAAGTTAAATGCTTGTGGGTTTGGCCAATCAAGATCATGTCCTGCAGTTACTTCTGTTTTTAAAGATGTCAAGCTACCGGCAAGCTTACATGAGGTTGCTTTGAGAAGGTTGTGGGCTGACTTGCCTTTGGAGTTATTACAGTTGGCATTTATGAGTTCTTCTGAATTTGGTGAAGTTGTTGGAGACCGGGGCCGAAATAGGGTAGCTTTGGAATTTTTAGCTGTTCCAGACCTTCCTCAATTGCCTCCATTCTTTTTAAGGAATACTTCACAGCACGGCAATGATGACATTGTGGGTCCAGTTATACCTTTTCCTGTTCTACTTGTGCTTAATGGATTCCGCAATGGGTACTCAGATTTGGAAGGTGAATTTTCAATAGAAGCAGAGCTTGACCTCAAATACAAAGAAGTTATGCGGGTGGCTGATGAGATTGCTGTTCCAGCTTATGGCCCTACACACCTTCATGATCATGCAGTCTCCCTTGCTGATGATGGAGACGAAACCTGGGCTGATTCTTCAAAACCAAAATCTTTTTTGTTATATCGTCCAGTTGCATTCAACTGCTCTGCTACAGACCTTGTACAGGGAAACTCTGTTTATAGTGATACAATTTTTGATTCATTTATTGTTCGAGTTCCAGAGAAGAAGTCAAATGAGCAGACTGAATCTGTCGGACAAGAGATATTTGATGATCTTTCCCCTGTTCAGTTGAGGTTTGATGTTCCCGTGAAGAAACTTGAACCTCAGGGTTTAAAAGCATACAATCTATTGAAGAGACAGATGTCTAAATGGCAAGAAAATTTTGATTCATATAAGGAATTTTGTATTCAATCTAGATTTGAAAAGTAGGTAACAGGTGATCCCTCCCTAGGCTACCAGAGGTCTGCATGTTAGACTTTCATGCCCTAATGCCAAGTGATGGAAGTTACACAGAACTGAAGTTTGTAGAATTATTGGATGCTGTGATTGCCATGGGAAAGACTACTTTTGATAGAGTAAGCATGCAGTCAATGCTTGCCTACCAAACTGGTAATCTTTCCCAGGTTGGTGCAAGCCTTGTGGTTGAGCTTGTAGAGGGAAATTCAGACATGGCTGGTGAGCTTCAGGGGGAAGCTCTGATGCACAAAACATATGCTGCTCGCCTTATGGGTGGAGAGGCATCAGCCCCTGCTGCTGCAACTTCAGTTCTAAGATTTATGGTTGATCTGGCCAAGATGTGCCCCACTATCGGAGGTGTGTAATTAATTTTAGAAAGTTACATCTTTTGTTCCTATCTCTTATTGTAGTAGTTTCTTCAATCCTAGTTATTTTTGTCATTTTGGGGGTTGCAGGTATTCCATGCTTTGGACGTCTCTGTGGAGATATTTATATATGCAAGCAAGGTGTGATTGGAGAGACTATCCGCCCTATTGGTGGGGTGGAACTTGTCCTTGCTCTTGTTGAAGCAGCAGAAACTAGAGATATGCTGCACATGGCCCTTGCTCTACTTGCCTGTGCACTTCATCAAAATCCTCAGAATCTTAAGGACATGCAAACATATAGGGGCTACCATCTACTTGCCCTTTTTCTGCGTCGTAGAATGTCATTATTTGACATGCAATCTCTTGAGATCTTCTTTCAAATTGCTGCTTGTGAAGCTTCTTTTTCTGAACCAAAGAAATTGGAGACTACTCGGACTACTTTGTCTCCTGTTTCATCTCTGCAGGAAACAAGTCTTGAGGATAATTTTTTCTTGAAGTTTCATGATGACAAATCTTCAGTTGGATCTCGTGGAGACATGGATGATTTTTCTGTGCAAAATGTTTATTTAGTCGCATTTCAGAGCTGGAAAATACTGACATTTCTGCTGAAACTTCAAATTGCATTGTCTTGTCAAATGCAGACATGGTTGAACATGTTCTATTGGATTGGATATTATGGGTAACTGCCCGAGTTTTAATCCAGATAGCTTTTCTCGGATTTCTTGAAAATTTATTGGACATGTTTTTGAGATTAACAAAATATGTAAAAAATTTTGGCTCAAAATATGTAAAATATTAACAAAATAATGCTTTTAAATTTTTTGGTAACAGTCATTATCATAGAAAAATATAAAACTTCGTATACTTGTTAGATAAAGTGAATATAATACAATGTAATATTGTTTTATTTTTTAAAGATAACAAGTACTGCATTAATATTTTAAAAGTATTTATTAGCTGTCAATGTAAAAACACTTATATTATTAATATATTTTTACTTATAAGTTATTTGAAATTTAATTTTTAAAACATGAAGTTAAATTTACAATACAAAAATACATTATAGATAAATTTTATATATTAAATTAAAATATTATTTTATCTTATATGGTTATTATATAATATTATATTAAAACTTATATATATATATGTGATAATTAAATAATATATATAATAATTGAAAAAAATAAAAAATGGATAAAATAATAGTTAAAATTAATTTTTAATATAGAATTTAATTTTATAGTTTATATATATATATATATTCTTTTTTTTTCTTTATTAATTATAAGCACATGTTAGAACCAAATCGAAAGAGGAATGACAAGAAATGGTGTTGAGAAACAGGCTTCACTTCCTATTCCACGGTCTCACAGATGAGACCTTCTCTGTACACGACGAGCAGGGATTGAAAGCAAAGAAACTCTTCTTCATCGCGAGTAGCTTCACCATTGCAAAAAGAAGAAGTTTGGCTTCTGACAATGCTGTTGTTAGAGGGTGTCTTTATTTATGTAATTTCCGTCTAATACCCAACTCCTGATACAAGCTCAGTCCCAAAACCTTCTTTTTTATAATTTTAAAAATTATAAAAAATTAAAAAAAATACTTACTTTCTCTCTCTCTCTCTCCCCCGCTCTCTCGCCCTGCTCTCAATCTGCATCCAGCTCCCTCCCCCTCCTCATATCGCCGCCGCCCCAGATCTCCGAGGCCCCCCCCCCTTCCTCAGCTCCTCAGCTCACCCCCCCCCCCCCCCAGCCAGTCTCCCTCCTCCATTCTTCTCTCAGGTGTGCACAAATTGTGGAGTTCGCTCAAGAATTTGGCTTACTTGATCTCATTCGGAGATGATCCGATCCCTACTTCTCTAACTATGCTGCCTTCTGACTCCTCCTGCAGAGGTCTCTCACAACAAGACACTGAGCAATGCTGGGATTTTCATATGGAGAAATATTTCTTTTGCTTGGAGCCACTGCTGCTCTGATTGGTTCATTCATACTACTCTTCTGTTTATCACATGGAAAATTTATTAATAGTTTGAATATAATTTTTTTAATTTGGCAAATGGATATGTAATAGGTCCAAAGGATTTACCAATCATATCCAGAACAGCAGGAAGGCTAGCTGGTCGAGCTATTGGATACGTACAATTGGCTCGTGGCCAGTTTGTTACCGTTATGCAGCAATCTCAAGCTCGCCAGGTATTCCTCTTTTTCCAATCAGAGTTATAGCTCACAGGGATTAGTTTCATTAGGTGTTTATAGACTGTCTTAATATTGATTGCAAATATGTTATGTTTAATCTGAAAAATATGACAATCTGGCATTCTAGAATCTTATATATGTACAATCCACTTTGAATTTAGACAATAATATCAATGAACATAAAAGTTAGGAACATATTTATACTCACATAAAGGAATGCTCTTTCATACTTGGGCTTGGCAATGACATTTCATCATCAAAAACCACATTTTGTCTTTTAGGTTCATAAGGAACTCCAAGACACAATGGCTCAGTTAGATGCTATTCGTCATGAAATTCGAAGTATATCAATCATAAATTCTGCTCCTTTGACACGAAGGCTTGTAGATAATACTGACCAGACATCTATCTCAAATGGTATCATTTAACGATTTTCTAATTTTTATTGATACAGTTTCTTAGGTTTTGTTTAATTGTGTTATCTTCTGTTGTTGATAATATAGACAATAGAAAACCAGAAGATTCTGAAGAGAAAAACTCAATACCCACTGCTATCAAGGTTTACTGGCCCAACCCACAACTTTAGATAATTATATGTTGCTTGAGGAACTGAGTGTGCTTACATGTCTATAAATGTTTCCAGGATTCAACTCCATTATCATCCAATTCATACAATTTGCAAAGTCAAGCAACTATGTATGCCAGATTGACAGAGTCCCCTGCCATAAAGAATGATTTATCGGCAAGTAGTGCTGAAGTTGAGAAGATTAAAGATGAAGTACAGCTCACTGTCTTACCAATTTCTGCTGAAAATGCTGGACTATTACCAAAATGTGGGGGTAATGACAATTTATGTTGTTTTGTTGGCTTTCCTTATCATGATTGTCTAATACCTGTGTAAGAGGATAATTAGAGCATTTTACTTATTATTATTATTTTTTTTCATATTTACATTTTGTGCACTATGTATTGTGGTCATGTCATGTTTATGGCTTCCTATATATGTATGCCACATACGTGCATATTTAATGGCACTAAATTATGTAGCTTTTTGTTAATTAATTACATTCACATACATGTTTTCAGATGTGATTTGGTTAATCTGTTTACTTATTCATTCGAGCTATATTTGGGTAGCCAGAAAGCCCTGAAGTAAAGATTGTTGCCTGAGTTTTGTTCATTATTTAATTGTGGCGCATTTGGTATGCCATAGGATGTTATAGCTATTGCTATATATTTCATAGCGAAACGCGTAAATTCCTTTTCTTTTTCTTGATGAGTACATGGTGGCTTTTAGTGTTGTCTGTCTATGATTGAGTGACTAGTCATAATGCAAATCGATATTTGACAGGCTTCTGTTTGTTTTACAATGATATCTAATATGAAACAAGTTTTGGTTGTATTAACAGCTGATGTGAAAGGATCTAACATAGTTCTAGAAGCAATTTTGGAGGCAGAGGTATCTCATACTGCAAAGGAATTCTTTTCGCAGCCCCAAAATAAAAAATGACTGATATGGTAATCCTACATAGTACTTAATATTCTGGATGTTAAACGTACTTAGTTTGTAGTATTTGTAAATACAAAAATAATATGTTTTAGAATAGATTTTATTCTATTAATCTACAAGTCACTATTAAATCAGAAGAGTTACTTGAGCAGTGGCATAAAGTTGTTTCCTCTAAGTTGATTACATGTTTTCTTGATGAAGCAGTTCATCCAAGTAGTATGAGATGGGTCATGACTCTACATGGTGTGTGTCTTACTTCCTCTCCTACTTTTGCACTTAAATTTCGTACAGGTGGAGGCTATCAAGGTTTAGTTCAGGTGCTCCCCAGTTTCTACGATTCCCCAGACATCTATTATATTTTATTTTGTTTGATATTTGGCAAGCCAGTTTACCCTAGGCTACCAGAGGTCTGCATGTTAGACTTTCATGCCCTAATGCCAAGTGATGGAAGTTACACAGAACTGAAGTTTGTAGAATTATTGGATGCTGTGATTGCCATGGGAAAGGCTACTTTTGATAGAGTAAGCATGCAGTTAATGCTTGACTACTTTTGATAGAAAACCTTGAACGATTGTGATGATACATGCAGTTCCCAAAATACATTTTCTAGCTTGCCTCTGGACCAGGATCAGTCTGTCAAAACCTCCATTAGTGTTGGAAGCTTTCCTCAAGGGCAGGTAAGTACAAGTTCTGATGATATGGCTGTGCCAGCAAACTCTATGGCTGGTGAGAGATCGCAGAATAATCTTACTGTATCTGAGCTGGAATCAAAGAAACCTGTGAAGCTGTACAAACTTTTCAGAACTTGGATGGTGATCAAATCTCTGTTGCTTCCAGTGCACGAGTTCAGCTTTCACAATATCAAAGGTGATTTCACATTCCACAACCAACAGATTCCCAGAGCTCAGCATCTTTTGCTGCACTGGATTCTCCCATTTTGTCAGAAAAGTCCAGTTCTAAATTCCCCTTACTCCTTCTTCATCACCAGTTGTTGCATTGACATCTTGGCTGGGAAGTGCAAACCATAATGAAACAAAATCTCCCTTAACTGCCACTCCTCCTTTTGATTCTTCCATGTCTGCTGGCGAGTTTGATCCATCTTCAAATCAAAAGTCTAGTTCTCAAGGGCCATTTGCTGCTAATGCTTGCTTTGCTGTAACCTCAAAGCTGCTTTTGGACATAGATGATTCTGGATATGTTGGTGGTCCATGTTCTGCTGGAGCTACTGCCTTGTTAGATTTCATCGCAGAGGTCCTTTCTGATTTTGTGACTGAACAGATTAAAGCATCGCTGCTCATAGAGAACATCTTATGTTGATGGTGAGTCTGTGTTAGTTTTCCAAGGCCTATGTCTCAGTAGATTTATAAACTTTCTGGAAAGGAGACTGCTACCTGATGATGAAGAAGAAGAGAAAAAATTGGATAAGATTCGCTGGTCCTCAAATTTGGATGCTTTGTGCTGGATGATTGTGGATCGTGTATACATGGGTGCTTTTCCTCAGCCTTCAGGGGTAATGAAAACTCTAGAGTTCTTGTTATCAATGTTGCAATTGGCAAACAAAGATGGTAGAATTGAAGCTGCTGCTCCTGGTGGAAAGAGGCTCTTATCAATTTCAAGAGGAAATAAGCAACTAGAGGCTTATATCCATTCAATTCTTAAAAACACTAATCGAATGGTATTATATTGCTTCCTCCCGTCAGTTTTAGCCACTATAGGGGAAGATGATCTTCAAAACTTGCGGAAATTTCATCGTGTGCTTTTTGACATAGATTGACAACAGTTGAACTGTGACATATGTTAATAAACATGTCCTCAACAAATGTGCTAAATTCACGTTTGTTTTCTATTTGGGAATATTTATTCTCTTTTGTTCGTAATATCAATTTTTCCTGTACATGGACAGGCTGTTGGGGAATCAGTTAATATGTTCTATCATTATACATATGAAGGGAGTGTAGACATGGACTCAGTTACAGATCCTGCAACGAAAGCATCGATTTTAGCACAAATTAATCATTTTGGGCGGACACCTAAGCAACTGTTCCTCAAGCCCCATGTGAAAAGGCGACAGAAAACTTCATTCGCATCCCCTTAAACATTCCACTCATCCCCTTATTTGTTTGTTGGCTCGCCTCACATATTTGCAGCACGAATTCTCTGTATAGTTTGTTTAGGATCAATATGCTATGTAAGCTGTAATCGTATTTTCAAGTGCTGCATTAATGCATACTTGCTCAATTGCTGCTCTGATCTATTCTCGTTTTACCTTTAGAGGCATTTATGATACCAATACACGGACACGATACAATTATAGGTACTATAAATTTAACACATAAAAATATAAAAATTAAATTAAAACAATATCATTAGTACTTTGTTAGTCAATATTATTCATTTGAAAGATTATGACATTGTTTGATTTGTTTAGATTATAGTGAAATTAACCAATAGAATTCGTTACTTGTTATTATAATTATTATTTTTACTTTTCTTTATTCTCAATTGGGCAAGTACATAAAAGTTAATTCTTATTTATTTATTTATTTATGATAACGTGTTTAAGATTATATATGATAAAAAAAATTAGTAAACCGTAAATTGTTGTTAAAAGTTGTAATATTTAATTTATCAACTAATTAAATTTAATGAAATTATATGATTTACAATATAAAATTTTTATTGTGTGCGTTTGAGCATACATATCAGAAGAATCAATTTATTAATATGTAAGTAACATTCTTTCTAATATATTTTTTATTATTGTATAAAATTTATTAAAATTCTAAAAATTGTGTAAATTTTACTTTTAATTTAGTATTTATTATTCTTAATTTTGTGTTTCTTTTTCATATTTTTATATTTTTAAAATAAATTTTAATAAATAACTAAAAAATATATTAAAGAGTGTGTTCTTAATAAACAAAAATATTACATTTTATCATTCTGAATTCTATTATCCGAACATAGCCTTTGAGATTTACCATGATTCTTATACTTGTTTGCATAGCAGGCAAGACAGACGAAATCTATTTTTTTTTATCATTCTAATTTGGTGTTGGGTCCCTGTCGTTGTTGGATCCATTGCATTGCATTGCATGAGATCTTCGTTTAGGTGTGGCAAGTTGCAACATCGCTCACGCATGCACACTTCAATCCCACACACCCTTCTTGATACCAACTTCTCCGTCAACGCTCCTTCTCTCACACTCCCCGACACCTTCAACCAAGGGAGCCTCAAACACGCTTTTCAATCCTTAACCCACTTTTTCACTTTTCCATTCTTAACTCACTCCCATCTCCGACATGCTTATTCACTCGTTCTGGACCTCTGTGCCACGCAGAAAGCTCTATCACAAGGGCAACAGTTGCATGCCCGTTTGATAAAAACTCACGATTTGTGTTGTTCGGTGTTTCTGTGCACCAAGCTCGTGCATATGTACGGAAAGTGTGGCGCTTTCCTTGACGCAGTGGAAGTGTTTGATAAAATGAATGAAAGAACTATTTTTACCTGGAATTCTATGATGAGTGCGTTTGTGTCTAGTGGTAAATACTTTGAAGCGCTTCAGTTGTATAAAGAAATGAGAGTTCTTGGAGTGCAGCTAGATGCTTGTACTTTTCTTTCTGTGCTTAAAGCATGTGGTGCTCTTGGTGAAAGCCACATGGGGGCTGAAATCCATGGTGTTGCTATTAAGTGGGGATATGGAGCATTTGTGTTTGTGTGTAATGCACTTATTGCTATGTATGCTAAATTTGGTGATCTTGATGGGGCTAGGGTGTTGTTTGATGGTATTAAATTGGAGAAAGAGGACACTGTGTCGTGGAATTCTATTATTTCGGCACATGTAGCAGAAGGACAGTGCTTGGAGGCATTGTCACTCTTTAGAACAATGCAGGAGGTTGGTGTTGCCAGTGATTCGTATGCTTTTGTTGCAGCTCTTCAAGCTTGTGAAGATCCCACCTTTGTTAAACTGGGAAGGGAGATACATTCTGTCATCTTGAAATCTAACCATTTTGCTGATGTCTATGTTGCCAATGTCTTGATTGCTATGTATTCAAAATGTTGTCGAATGGAGGAAGCTGAAAGAGCTTTTGCGAGTATGCTTTGCAAGGATAATGTTTCGTGGAATACATTGCTTTCTGGTCTAGTCCAAAATGAGCTGTACATTGATGCTCTAAATTACTTCCGGGATATGCAGAATTCTGGCCAAAAGCCTGACCAGGTGTCAGTGTTAAACATGATTGCAACATCTGGCCGATTAGGAAATTTATTGAATGGGATGGAAGTTCATGCCTATGCAATAAGAAATGGAATGGATTCTAATATGCATATCAGGAACACCCTGATAGATATGTATGCCAAGTGTTTCTGTGTTAAATATATGGATCATGTTTTTGAATATGCGCCTAAAAAGGACCTGATTTCTTGGACAACAATTATTGCTGGTTATGCACAGAATGAATGGCATCTGGAAGCTATTAATTTGTTCCGGAAGGTTCAGCTAGAAGCGATGAATGTTGATCCCATGATGATTGGAAGCATTTTGCTGGCTTGCAGTGGGTTGAAAACTAAAAACTTCATCAAAGAAATTCATGGTTATGTTTTGAAAAGAGGTTTAGCTGATATACTGGTACAAAATGCCATTGTCAATGTATATGGAGAGGTTGGGCACCTAGGTTATGCAAGACGTGTATTTGAATCAATGAAATCCAAAGATATTGTGTCTTGGACAAGCATGATTAGTTCTTATGTTCATAATGGACTTGCAATCGAGGCTCTTGAACTTTTCTATTCTCTAAAAAAAACTAATATTCGACCTGATTCTATAACTTTCATCAGTATACTCTCTGCTGCTGCTAGTTTATCTTCATTGAAGAAAGGGAAGGAGATTCATGGATTTCTGATCAGGAAGGGTTTCTTCCTGGAGGGACCAATTGCTTGCTCCCTGGTGGACATGTATGCTCGCTGTGGAACTGTGGAGAACTCAAGGAAGATATTTAATTCTGTAAATCTGAGAGATCTAATTTTATGGACTTCTATGATTAATGCCAATGGAATGCACGGATGGGGAAATGAGGCCATTGCTTTATTCAAGAAAATGACTGATGGAAATATTATTCCTGATCATATAACCTTTTTGGCTTTATTATATGCATGCAGTCATTCAGGGTTGATAGTTGAAGGTAAGAGGTATTTTGAAATTATGAAAAATGAATATCAGTTGGAACCCTGGCCAGAGCATTATGCCTGTCTGGTTGATCTCCTTGGCCGTTCCAATTCCTTGGAAGAGGCTTACTATTTTGTGAGAAACATGCCAATAGAACCTTCTCCTGAAATCTGGTGTGCCCTTCTTGGGGCTTGCCGCATTCATTGTAACAAAGAATTAGGAGAGCTTGCTGCAAAGAAACTCTTACAATTAGATACAGAGAATTCAGGAAATTATGTACTAATAGCAAACATCTTTGCAGCAGATGGAAGATGGAATGATGTTGAAGAAGTGAGGTTGAGAATGAAGGGAAATGGGTTGAAGAAGAAACCAGGATGCAGTTGGATTGAAGTTGAGAATAAGATTCACACCTTCATAGCAAGGGATAAGTCTCATCCACAGTCTGATGACATTTATTTAAAATTAGGTCAGTTTACAAAACTTTTGGAGAAAAAAGGAGGCTATAGAGTTCAAACTAGGTTTGTATTCCACAATGTTAATGAAGAAGAGAAAATGCAGATGCTACATGGACATAGTGAAAGGTTAGCACTTGGGTATGGTTTGCTTGTTACCCCAAAGGGTACTTCTATTCGGATTACAAAGAACCTTCGAATTTGTGATGATTGTCATACATTCTTTAAGATTGCATCAGAAGTCTCTCAACGAAATCTTGTTGTAAGGGATGCCAGCAGGTTCCATCATTTTGAAAGAGGACTCTGTTCATGTAGAGATTTCTGGTGAATACTTTGATTTTTATGTGAAAATAGCATTTTGAAAGAGTAGGTTATAGCACACTCCTGTGGTTCCTCTCCCTGTTGCTGATGGTCACTAAAATTGGTCCTTCAAAGTTTTACTGTCTCTTCATGACATCTCAGTCACCAGAGTATGGGAACCAGTATAGAATAGGATAATGGAGCCTGAGATTATCCGGTTGATAGAATTGACTTAGTTAAAAACAGTTCCTTAAGTGCTGTTTACCATCACAATTATAGTTGTATCTTAGCAATAATATTTAAATGCAAGATGGGTCAATCTTCTGCCTGTTTACTGGCTAGTCAACAAGAACTGAGATGTTCAATAAGAACTTTATTTCCAAGAAATTGGCTGTTCATGCTTAGCATAGAAAAATATCCATACATGGAAATTCATTTTGAGGATAGCAAATAACATACTTTCTAATATATTATTTATTATTGATTAAAATTTATTTAAAATAATAAAATTATGTTTCTTATTCTTAAATTAATATTTCTTTATTATAGGAGGAAGTTGTTATCCTTCCTTATCTATCTTTATGTTAAATTACATTTCCTTGTGTCCATTATTATTATTGTTTGAAATATTTCATGAATCTCTAATTGTAAGTCTTGGCACGAAATTACTTCTTTCATAATTTTGTTAAATAATATATATTATATTAATGTATACATGTGAATGTGTGCACACATGTAATGATATTTTTTTATTAATTAATGCAACATGACTAGCACTAAGTATGTAAGGCAGCCTTTGGTAAGCATGTTCCTGTCCTTGGGTCAAGGACACGGACTCCCATGGGTAGCGTTTGGAGGTAGAAGGACATGGATAGGGAAGTAGGCAGAGGGACATGAATTACACAAATTTCGTGTCCTTCCAAAGATGAGGTACACGAGCGAGATGGACATGGATACAGTGACAAATTGATTAAAATGCCTTGAGTTATTTTTGAAAATGATACCCACTTGCCCTTGTACCCTAAACCTAACTTTGGGGCTGCAGTGTGTGCATTGGTCTTCTCTTCGGCTATAATTGCGTTTGGTTTCTTCCTCTTGAAGCTGCGCTGCCACTGTTGTGAAGTTGTGCTGCCACCATTATGAAGTTGCGCTGCCACTTTCTTCGAGAAATTGTCCTGGACCTACTCTGCTATGTAACCAGGTAACGATCTAAGGTAGGTGCTTTCATATTTTTCTGATTTGATCTATTCTATCCCTTGTATTTGGAGATGTTATAAAGATTAAAACCCAACGGAGAGAAAAAACATAAAAAATAGTTGTAACACAGGAAGTCTTCTACTCTTGTTCCTTTTACATGGATTATGTGTAATGTTCATATAAAATAAACCTTATCATCTATAATTAATTGCAAATGTGTGTGATACAATTTTAAAAAACAAAAATTGAGTCATACAAAAATTAAAGCCAGTTCACCATATGCTTGTGAGCTTCCGTTTAAGATTAATTTAACTGGTCATGAGTGTCATTGTGGAAGTTGTCTCTTGAGGGAAGAGTTCTCAAAGGATGCTCTTCCTGAGTGGATTGATTGGCAGCTGAAGAAGGAGATAGTTTTGGGGTTTGGAATTCTAAGCAATGACCTTGCTGCCTTACTATGTGAACCACATGAAAATGGTGGTTTTACATGGATAAGGCTGATGTCATCAGGAAAGTTTGAATTGCAGCGATATTGTGCCTCTTGGTGTATTGCAAATTTTCATCTCGTTATATATGGTGTGTTGTTTGCAATCATTCATTACCTAGGGATTATTTGCTGAGTTAAGAAGCATATAGACAAATATATATCCATTCAAAAAGAACTAAAAATGGGGTTTATACTAGAATTATAATATCCAGGAAGAAAACATAAAAAGTCTTCACATATGTAAAATCTTATTTATAGTTTTTACATCTATCCCTAAATTAAGATATTGTAATAATTATATTATAGGAAAACACAGAATTGTAAACCATGCCACCTGCTCTTAGAAGATAGTTTCTCCTTGTGATGTATCACAGATCTTTTGTCTTTATTAGATGCAAGAGCTGGGATGATCCGGTGTCCTATTTTATCTTCTCCATGTGTCCCCATTCAGTACAAAGAATAAAAAGCTTCAGGGTGGCCACTTCTACAATGCTGATTCCCTATTCAATAGTGCAAGGGATACTTGATTAAGTGCTGCTGGGAGGGAAACCCATCTGTGAAGGAATAATTTTTTCTACATACTTGAGTTCTTGGAGAATCGACTCAATTTTGACTTGGGAGAGAAGCAGTCTGGGCAGAAGGTTATCCTATTGCCAATATATACTTGCTATTTTCAATTTTCCAAGAACTGAAATGCTGGTGAAGTGCCTAGTAAATTTAAGTGTGGGGAAGTTCTTGAATCTGATTATGTCCCAGAAAAAATTTGCATCACTGAATAGACCTCATTTTTGGATATAACAAAGAGGGAAGGTGGGTGTGTTGTTTTTCTGAATAGATACTTGTCTTGTCCCTCCATCTTGTTTGGCTGTTCTAGAAAATTTTTAATCTTATTATTATGTTGTTAAAATTTTCTTTATTATTTTATTTTTGAATGCTTAGCTCTACAATCTAATGTACCTTTTTTGAATTGTTTACATGCATTTATTTACATTGGCTAATCATGCGACATGGCCATTATGAACTTAATTTTGATCACCAGGGTTTTGTAGTGATCACTAATCTTTTATTACTATGATAAATCTTTAGCCAAAACTTGTGGAAATTTCATCATTTGCATTTTGACATAGGTTGACAAGAGTTAATCTGTGACATCTCTTGATGATTAGTTAATTAGGTCAATACATTTGTTTTCAAGTAATGTGCTAAATTCACCTTCATTTTGTATTTAGGAATATTTATTCTCTTGTTCCTAATATCATTTTTTTTTCCTGCACAGTGTGCTGCTGAGGAATCAGTTCTTGTGTTCTATCATTATACGTATGAAGGGAATGTAGAATGTAGACATGGACTCGGTTACAAATCCTACAATGAAAGCATCTATTTGAACACAAATAATGATTTGGGCAGACACTTGGCAATTGTGCCTCAAGCCCCACGTGAAAAGGCATGCTGACAAAAATCTTCCTCCCCGTCCCCTTAAGCATTCCACTCATCTTTCTCCACAAAATTTGCAAAAGTTCTTCAATCACCCAAGTTGTTACTCTAAATGACAAAATTCTCAGTGGGAAATATGAATTTGTTTAAACCAAGAACATATACCAAATTTGTTGCTTGTGGTTTCCCTGAAATGTAGCTTGGGATTTATGAGCTATGGACAATATAGACATGTTTCAACTCATGAAAATCTAAATGAGGTAATCAAATTCCATGTGCTGGTGTTATAGCCACGATGGTCAGCGTATGTTTACCGGTGCTGATGATTGGATGACAACAATTTTGTTTTGAAGAATAATTTTTTTCCATGTTTATGCGATTTTAAACCTGACAGAGTCTTTGATAAATAGAATATATTAGCATCTAAAATTGTTATTGTCAGATAATTGCATCACAAATTTTATTATACTGCGTCTTTGTTCTCACCTAAAATTTCATAATTTCAAATCAATAGTCGATGATTGTTTTTCCACATGTCAACATGGTGACATTTTATGGATTTAAAGAATGTTTATTTTATGGATCTCCATTACTCTCTCTCTCTCTCTCTCGACTTGGCTGATTACTCATTCAGTAAGGTACATCAAGATACCGTCACCACTTGAAGTACAACAAATGGAGAAAGGTCTCATGACTATTTAACTCTGCGTACTTCATTAAATTATTCAAATATGAAATATGCAAATCAATGAATCTGAAAAATGATAGGCAAAAAAATCGTTAAATATTCCATTTAACAATCAAATGTTTATGCTTAAAATGTAAATAAGAGTGGAATGAATGTATTTTTCTGTTTTTTCTTACACAGTTAATTCTCTGTCTCTCTTTACCACCGTTGCCTTATTTGCTATTTTTCGGGACCACCTAGTCCTGCATGATCCTCAACTGCAATGACCAGACATGTATGTATTCAACGTTTCTGAGGAACAAGAAATGAGTATGTATTTGTTGACACTGACATGCTTAAGAATGTGTTCCAATTTGTGAGGTATCACCAATGAAACAGTCGAGCTCACAACAATTAAATGAAGCACGAGGTCCTGTATCGTATTATGTATTAAGTATGAGTTTTCTTACAATGAAGAAGGCTAACACCAAAGCAGTGTTAGGGATACAAAATTACTAGGAATAACAGAACATTGAATAAAAGAAATCCCAGAGAGGGCCAGAGGAAGGGGAGAACAGATCATAAATCCCACACACCCCCCATTTCCTATTTTTCTCCTTTTATATTTACTTTAACCCCCAAACATAATCCTTGAGCGCAGAGTTAGTTACTCTTTTCCTCTCACTTTTGCGGTTCACCATGATTTCATCATTAGCATCCACGTGTCCCACCCTTGTAACGGTATTCCCATGCACTTCCTTTGCCAGTATTTCTTCTGCACTCGTGACATTTCCTCCCCCATAAAAATCAACCTTGTCCCCAAGGTTGAAGTTAGGATAAACACCCTGGAATAAGGATAGATCTTCCCAAGTAGCTTTAGTCATATCCAATCCTTCCCATTGGACCAAAACCTGAGGAATCTGATCGGGCCCACGTAAAATAATTCTGGACTGCAATATCTTAGATGGTTGGACAATAGGACCAAATTCATCAGTCAACAGTGGGAGAGGAACATACGGTTGCTGATGTTCACCTTTGCATGGCTTCAACAAAGAAACATGAAACACGGGGTGAATCTTGGCAGAAGCTGGAAGTAGGAGTTTGTAAGCCACAAAACCAATTTTCTGCAAAACTGGAAAAGGACCAAAGTATCGAAGTCCCAATTTCTGATTTTTGCGCAAAGCAACTGAGTGTTGCCTGTAAGGTTGAAGCTTAACTAGAACAAGATCACCCACGTTAAACTCCAACTGTGATCGTTTCCTATCTGCATATTTCTTCATATAGTGCTGAGCCTTTAGCAAATTATTCTTCAACTGGCGAAGAATTAAGTCACGTTGCAGCAATAAATCCTGCAGATAGGGAGGGTCTTGATGGTCTAAAGTATACTTGGTGATTGTGGGAGGATCTCGACCATAAACTGCTTTGAAAGGAGTCATACCAATGCTGGACTGAAATGAGGTATTGTACCAAAACTCAGCCCATGAGAGTAACTTACTCCAGCTCTTGGGATTGTCAACTGTGAAACATCGTAAGTACATCTCCAAACATCTATTAAGTGCCTCGGATTGACCATCAGATTGCGGGTGATATGC